AAGTGTTTTTGTCTTGCTATAAAAATATTTTTTATAGTTTCCTAGTGCTTGACACCAGATATCTGGGACTCTAACAGAGGCTACCACACTAGGTGAGGATGGACCTCGGAACAACAGCAATTAAGAATTGGTTCCACGCTTCACGAAACCTCCTAAATAGAGGTCTTGCTGCCGAATGTTTGACAATCAGACGAGTAAGATTGGGATTTCCAAGTCTATGCAACAGAATAATCAAGTGTTATAATCTTGATGGCAGACACAGAATGGAAACACCAAACAGCTAAAGAACGCAAAAAGCAATGACAAAACATCAACTGTATGACAAAAGAAAGGATATTTGTTAGCAAAAGGGACAATCCAAGATAAAATCAATTCACTGGAGACGTCAAACTCCAGCAAGTATTATAACAGACGATGGAAAATGTAACACCAAATTTCAAAGATGCATCAGAATGACAAAGAGTGAATTCCAAAAAGCTAATCAAAGTATTAACAGACTGGAAGTTTTTGTTCGAAAAATAAAAGAGTTCTGAAATGTTATGCAATATTAATCATCCTGTATGACAATGACTCATGAAACGAATCTCACAGATGAAGAAGAGTCTTGAAGCAACGACGCTGGGGTTTTACAGAAGACTCATGAGAATACCATAGACGGTACATGAGAACAATCAGAATTTTTTAAATAATTTTTAAACAAAAGGTCACTTAGACTTGGGGATCAAAAAGAGATACTTCTGTGACAAATAATAAGAAAAGAGAACATGGAAAATTTGACAGTTACATAACTTTAAAGTCAAACGTGAAGTGGAGACAGCGAATAACCGGTATAAATTTCTTGTGTAAATTGATGATAGAACGAGGACTTATAGAGATTGTGAGGCGACAAACATTTCTTAGAGTTACAAAAGAAAGAAGGTGGGGAGAGCCATGATGAGCCAACGTTCTTTAGGGACACGGCACAAAGAACAAAAAGGTCTGCACAAAGAACAAAATGCTAAGAACGGTATGGCACAGTTTATACTAAAAGAAGGCGTAAAAACAGAATGGAAGACGATTATGCTAAGTCTTTTCTTAAGGATTGTAATAATAATAATAATAATAATAATAATAATAATAATAAGAAGAAGAAGAAGAAGAATGATGGTGATGATAGAAAGTAAACTGTTTACTATCGCAGATAACCTATAAAAAAAAGCTGAGATAAGAAGGACCAGATGAGCATAATATTTAAGGTTTCATGTGGGGCACCCGAGTGCGTACACCAGGGCCAGGGGCAAAAAAGGTTTGTTGCGCTGGCATTGGTACAACCACTGATCCCCCTCTTTAGTGCAATAAGGGGGTACTGCCTCTGACACAAGTTCTCAGGGACCGGTCACCTCTCAATATTTTTTTCCACAGACAGAGATAAAACTGAGTTGCACTATGATCGATGATATAGAAGAGACTTAGTCTATAACAGTACGAACAGGACAAGTACCATTGCCCTGCTCTGATGAGCATCAAATATCTGGAGTCCATCCTGGATTTTGATTGATAAATTCGTTTTTCTACGGCTTATAAAACCTATGCAACTTATTTATCTTCAGAAAATATTGTTAAATTATAAGAATTTTTTATTTGGGATAATAATGATTCGGTGATAGAAGTCTTAATTGTTAAGCCATTGAGATGGATTCATACCTTTTTCCAAGTATATTTTGGTATAAATGAATATAACGAACACAATGGGAATTAAATCTTGGTTCTCCGATTAACAATTCCAAGACATTATCCATAATACAACCCGCATATCCAAGCTTACACCTGGTGTTCCCAGGCGGGCACCCATATAGGCACTGAGCAGGCTCGGCATATTTTAGCTTCTTTCATCGTACGGTAACCGGTGTTTCAACATAATGTCTGCTTATTTCTGCGAATTTTTTCAGTCTTATACCAAAAGTTCAGCAGAGAAACTTCCATCACTGTCACGATTCAAGGACGATGGTTTTATATCCATTCTTCCTCAGGATTTATTTCGGATCAATGTCCAGGCCAGTAAGGTGGGCTCTCTAATTACATTCACTATACTTATTCTTCTGCTCTGTCTAGTCAATGCATTAAATTAGTGAGCTTGAGTAAATGGATGGCGGAACATGGTTGAGGCGAAGTAACAGAGAAAGACATTAAGAGCTGAAAAAGGACAGGAAATTTGGGCGAATGCTGCGTCTTGATGGGACGAGTAGAAGAAGAAGCCTTATAAATTCTTTAAGATGAATTATAGAAGAAAAATTTTCATTGCACGCAACCATTTTTCGCTAATTAACAACGTTCTGAATGCTAAAATAATCTAAATGTTTTTTTTTTTAATAGACATTGGATTTGTTTACACTGACAAGACATTTTAATGTTCCTTCTGATTATCTAAATACAAGCTGTCTTCCCAGCAATAACCTATTTGGCGAAAAAATTCAAGCAGACTTCTAAAAAAATTATCATGTAATAAACAGATTGACAGTGTGGGTGAACAATTCTTGAACAAAATGTCTGCGGACAAGATATTGCAAGTAACTAAAAGAAAAAAAAGAAGAAAAAAACGACCATCTCTTCGACTGTGACATATCACCAGTCACGCAGAGTAATAAACCTATTCCTCCAATTCAAAACATTACGGTGACAGGTAAAATCTGCCCCCGGTATTTTTTTTTTTTTTAGATGATCTGAAGCTTACGTCTGGGAATTAATTGTCACGTATGCATCTCGCTGTTGTAATTCATACGTTTAAAAATAGTCTGAGCGAAGACACTTACACTCATTCGATTATCATAACGAACACGAAACATATAAAATAGAACAGTAAAACGACTTATATAAAATGGAATACTATGATACAAGTCATATTTAATACATACATATATATACATATACATATATATATATATATACATACATACATATACATATATATATAGATACATATATATATATATATATATATATATATATATACATATATATATATATATATATATATATATATATATATATATATATATATATATATATATACATATATATATATATATATATATATATATATATATATATATATATATATATATATATATATATATATATATATATATATATATATATATATATATATATATATATATATATATATATATATATATATATATATATATATATATATATATACATATATATATATATATATATATATATATATATATATATATATATATATACATATATATATATACACATATATATATATATATACACATACATATATATATATATATATATATATATACATACATATATATATATATATATATATATATATATACATATATATATATATATATATATATATATATATATATATATATATATATATATATATATATATATATATATATATATATATATATATATATATATATATATATATATATATATATATATACATATATATATATATATATATATATATATATATATATATATATATATATATATATATATATATATATATATATATATATATATATATATATATATATATATATATATATATATATATATATATATATATATATATATATGATAAATAGAATCCTTCGCTTATTAATTCAAACTATAGCAAGAGAGCTGACATATGAAAACAAAATCAAAATAATCAGTAACTAAAAAAAAAGAAACCTTGTGGAAAATATCCAACATGTTTGCTTGCTGCTAATGGGGCATAAGGCGCGTTCAATAAAACGTGCGTACAGTAATGTAAAAAAGATAACAAATAAACTTAGAAGAAGATCTCATATGAATGCTAGCAGAACACATAAACATGCATCCTCATCAAAAGGAAAACATTTAAACATATAAAAAGCACAAATAGAACATGGACATAAAGAATATTCCAAAATCCGAGCGAATGGTAACAATACAAAAAAGGAGGAAAATAAGAAAGAAAATATATAACTAGAAAGGCAGAAGTTTAAAGGAAAACATCTCACATGATATTTGATTGTCCAGTGATGCAAATCATGTGAAAGGGCATAAATTCTAGAGATCAGTAAAAGACAGGCACCATGCAAAGAATGGAGCTTGATAGTTGATATTTTTGGTTTGCGCTGTCAGGAAATAAAATGAGTGACAAAAGATTAAAAATGAGAAGATAAAAATGTTTGGCACCGTGTAAATTCGTGCATTTTAAGAAAGGTAAACATACAACAGAAAGGAAAATAGATTGAAAAACAAATGAAACAAAAATAATTTGAAACAGCAAATGAAAATAAACATCATGCATGAACAGCGAGATTAGTTGAAAGAAAAGAAAAAACTGAAGGAGGACAGAGCAAGGCCGCCAATTAAGAAATAAAGAAATAAAAAAAATAAAGATAGATAGATAGATAGATAGATAGATAGATAGATAGATTTGAAACTAAAGTAAATAATAAAAGAAAGAAAGATAAGTAATGAAGAAACGGGAAATAAAAAATAAAATGTAAAGAAAAAAGATGAAAAAAGAAAGAAAGAAACATTTGAAACTAAAATAAATAATAAAAGAAAGAAATGTAAGTAATCAAGAAACGGGAAATAAAAAATAACATGTAAAGAAAAAAAGAATAAAAAAGAAATTAGATAAGTGGAAAATATTAATAAAAAAGGAATAAGAAGATAAAGAAAAGGGGAAAAAAAAGACATGAAATAAACAAATAAAGAAAACAAGCTGAATGTTACGTTTTCCATTTTCCAACCCTTTGCAGGATATCTAAAGCTAGGAAATATTTTAGATTGTAAGAATTTTCTTGGTGGAGATGGGGAGATAATACTGACTTAATGAGTCTTACTAATTAACCCATAGCTTGGTGTAGAGAAGGTTGATTCATACTTTTCCGAATTCTATTTGTACATCAGTGAATATAATAAAACCAACAAAACTCATCCCTCCAGTTAACAATACCTAACTATTCTCCATCACAACAAACTTAAACTTACAGTACCAGTTTTTCCCAAGAAGTAACCCATCTAGGTACTGACCAGGCTCGACTTTGCTTAACATCGGTGATCATACAGAAACCAGCGTTTCAGCGTAATTAGACCGTGAGTCTAAGCAAGAAACAAACATGGAAACAAACGAGAAAAGAATAATAATAAAGAATGTATTAAAAGAAAAACAGAAAATCATTAGAAAAAACACCTTATATGCTCGTTTATACTAAGTGTTTTAATGTTCATTTTTTAAACAGAAATTAGTGGGTAGCAATATGTACAGGTAAATTTTTAAACAGGTTAAATTTATTCGTTGTTGGTGTCTAGTCGCATTACACGCAGACATATTTTCTGCAACGGTTGAATTTCATCTCAGCCCCACCAAATCACAGGGTTTTCACGATGCATAAATTTGTCTTGTAGACGAGAAAACACGGTAAATGAATGTAAGTAAAACAATGTAAAATAGAAGAAAAAAGTAATGAAGTAAAAACAAGGAATGAAAATAATGAAGAAAAACTTGTGGAAAATAAAAAAGAAAGACAATTCAATGAATGAATTACTGAAAAGAAATAATCAAATAATGAGACTTGCAGTTGTCAAAGAAAGAGAATAAAAAGATGGATGGGAAACGCAATCCCCATAAATAACCAAACACAGAAAGAAAGAAACAAACACTGTGAAGAGGAAGGAAAATAATAAAGATAAAAAATAAAAAAATAAGAAAAAAGATAGACAAAGGAATGTAGGAACAATAAAGAAAGTTAATGGAGAACGTAACAAAATTTAAAAAAAGGAAAAGAAAGAAATATAGAAAGAAAAATATCAAAAGAAATAAAAATTATAAAGGAAATAAAGGGAAAGGTGGAAAAGTTTTATGAAGGAGAGAAAAACAAGGATGAAAAACGAAAGACTTTTAAACATGAAAGAAAAAAACGTAAGGACAAAAGAAATGAAAAAAGAATGGAAAAAGAAAAGAAAAAAGAGGGAAAGAAAAAAATTAAAATCGAAAAAAGAAGAAAATTAAGAAAGATAAAAAAAAAAAAGGCAAAGAAATAAAAAATATAGATGGGGAAATCTAAAAAGGTCAATAAAGAAAACGCCCAGAAAGAAAGGTCACAAAAAAAGCAAAAAAAAAAAGCAAAAATGAACGAAACAAAGATTAGTCAAAATGAGAAAAAACGTCACGAAGGAAGGTAAACAAGAAAATTATACAAATGGAAAGAAAGAAAAAAAGAAGGTAAAAAGAGAGAAATGAAGATAGAAAGACAGAGAAAAAGTGAGACAGAAAAGAGAAAAGAAAGAAAAATAAATGGAGAAAGGAAAAAGAAAAGAAAGTTGAAGAGAAGGAAAATAAATTAGGTAAATGGAACAAAGTAAAAAATAAAAAAAAGATAGATAAACAAAAGTAAGAAAAAGAAAGAAGTTAATAGATACGATGAGGAAAGAAAAAATAAGGGAAAAAAATGTAAAAAGAATAAAGAGAAAACCAGGCCAAAGGAAAAAAGTATGAAATTCTAAAGGAAATTATGAAAAATCGGAAAATCATGAAGAGAATAGGACACGAATAAGGATTTAAATTGAAAGTCTTAAACAGGAATGAAATACAAGAAAAAAGAAGTTTAAAAAGATAAGAAATACGACTCAAGAAAGATAGGCATGAAAATAAAAAGAAAGAAAAAAAACGTAGTATATATGTAAATTTGAAAATTCAGGAAAGATCATTAAAAAGTCAAGAAAGAAGATAAAGGAAATCTAGAAAGAAAGACAAAAGATAAAGAAAAAAAATAAAGAATGGTTTAAGTAAAGGTAAGGCACACCAAGAAAGAAAGTTAAGAAGAAGAAGAAACAAGAAAAGGAATGACGGAAAAAGAAAACGACAATAATGAAATAAAAAGAAGGAATGGGAAAGAAAAAGGAAAGAGATAAGAAAAAAGAAATCACGGGAAAGGATGCATAGTGAAATAAATAAATAAATAAATAAAGAAAGAAAGAAAGAAATAGATGAAGGAATGAATGAATAAATAAATAAATAAATAAATAAAGAAAGAAAGAAAGAAAGAAAGAAAGAAAGAAAGAAAGAAAGAAGCAATAAAACGAAAGAATTGTAAGCAGGAATAACTAGAAAGAAACAGAACGAACAAAAGTCAAAAAGTAGGAAAAAACGAAAAAAGAAGAAATGTAAAGACAAGAAAATCAAAGAAAGAAAGGAATAAAGAAAGAACGGAGGTAAGAAATAGAAAGATGCAAAGAAAGAAAGAAACAAACAAACAGGAAAGAAAGAGAAATTAAGAAAGGGAAATTAAGAAAAGAAAAGCAATAAAATGAAATAAAGAAAAAAGAAAATGTCAGAAATAAATAAATAAATAAATAAATAAAGAAAGAAAGAAAAGAGTGCGAAGTGAAATAAATGAACGAAAGGCAGCAAAAGAAAGAAATAGAAAGAAAGAAAGAAGCAAACAAGAAAAAAATGAAAAAGTCAGTAAAAGAAAAGCAAGAAAACGGAAGAAAATAAACAGTGCACGAAAGAAAGAAAGGAAGAAAGATATAGAAGAAACAGAAAAATTGAAATGAATGAGCAAAAGACAAAGAAAGTGAGAAAAGGAAAGAAAGAACGACGGGAGGCAATAAAAATAAATAAATAAAGATAGATAGATAGATAGATAGATAGATAGATAGATAGATAGATAGATAGATAGATAAAGGAAATAGAGAAATGAATGAAAATAGAAGGAAGTACTGCAAGAAAAGAAAGAACGAAATCTTATAGAGAAGGTAATAAAAGTAAAATCAAGAAAAAAATGGGAAAGAAAGGAAAAACAGAGTTAAGAAAGAGAATCAGAACCAAAGTATGACTTTTCGTAGGATTCGAAGATGTTTGGCAATACAGAAAATATACAACTATGAAAACTCAAATAAAGTATAACATTTCACATAATAATTGCCGTCACTCAAAAACGAGCAGTCTACTTCTAAATAAAACAAAAGAAAACAAAAAAACAAAAAAAAAATGACAGAAAAGTTAAATAAATTCATCAACTAAGGGAAAAACAATTTTCCTCACTGCAGTTATTTTAAGATCCACTCATTTAAAAAAAAAATCTAATTAGAAAAAAGTAACAAACTAAAAAATTAACAGGGCCACCATTTTTCATAAGCGGTAGCAATAAGCCCCGAAAACATTAATGGAAACGACAAGCAATCCAATATCTGTTCGTCTCGTGAGCTACTGCAGGCTCCAACAACCTGATTAAATGTTGCATTTTCATGTATGAAGTCAAAGGATCGTATTTAAGTTTGCTAATATGAAAGAATGGAAAACCGCAGGTTTATAAGTTCAAATTCTATCTATCACAAAATGGAAAATGAAACCAACGGTTTAGTTGAAGTCTGAGTAAATTCATTTCCGGTCCTCACTAGGATGAAAAGAAATTCTTATTGAATCGAATATATATATATATATATATATATATATATATATATATATATATATATATATATATATATATATATATATATATATATTATAAAAATATATACCTCAACATAGAAGTTAGTCTATTTCAAGCTGTTCTGTACGCGACTAATATCAGCCCCAGCCGTAACCCTAGAGGCTGATGATAGCTACGTACAGAACGGCTTAAAATAGACTTCTATATTGAGGTAATTCTTTAATATATATGGTCTGTTATAATAAATACATCGAGCTCACTGTAGATTAGTTTTATTAACTAATATTACTAGGATCCACCCGGATTATATACCAACGGATCGATTATAATATATATATATATATATATATATATATATATATATATATATATATATATATATATATATATATATATATAGTTTTATCCTTTCAATTCCACGAATTAATTTCTTGGTGTCTGTAGAAAATTGATCAAGAAAAAGATTCTACAATTTTCTTTCAAATAAATTTTATTTTCCAAAGTACTTTCAATCTCCTCTGAGACCATCTTCAGGGGTTGCATATCTATCGATGTGATACGCGTTAACACCATAAATTTAAAATATTTTCGACTTTTATTCAAGGGAGGTAACTTTTATCATTTCTTGAGAGATTTCTAATTATAGTATTTTAATTTTGTATTTTAGTTTATATTACACTTTGTTGATACCAACATTTAAGAACTTTATTAAAGTTATTTATTTTCGGCCGCAATTCTCTTACATAAAAGGCTTCCAGATTTTTAATTATTCACTTATTATTATCTTGATGAAGCATTGATATATTTTTGAACATGTCTCCAATCTAGATAGATAGATAGATAGATAGATAGATAGATAGATCTACCAGGTCGAGACAAATGTTTTTCGGATATTTACTGACATTTGGCAATATGTTGTTCCCCTTCATTTATGAAAAATGTGTCTTCGAAATGTTTGAACCAGAGCCAATCACAAATATTCATGCATTGTCGGCAGAACGTTCTCCTTCACAAAGAATCATTACTCGATACCTCCACAGGCCTGATCCTTTGCAGTGACGCCGCCGAGAATGTCCAGGATCAGCTACATGTAAACATTAGCAAAGCATTGCAGGGAAATCTGCTTGTCTCCCCCTGTTAGTGTCAAATTTTAACTGAGGTTTAAAAATGGATCTATTTCCGTGATCGCAACAAGAGAAATTAGGGGCTACGTTCAGACCAGATGTCATAACGTATTGTCAAACAGGTCATGTGTGTTTGGTGATGTTTCGGGGAGGTGTTCTACTTTGAGCTTGTCACAGATGATCAGGCTTTGCATACTGACCTATATGCTCGACAACTGCACCGAGTATATGATGATTTAAAATCCAGCATTCGTCAATTAAAGAGGCATTCTCTTCACAAATGATAATTCTCCACCACACATTGCCAATGTGACTAAGAGTAAGTTAGCAGAACATGAGTTGCTGGAAGTAATGTTTCAATCTGCCTACTGTCCAGATCTAGCACTGTCAGATTACCACATTCTCCGAGCTATGGCGCCTTTCCTGTGTAGATAGAGTGGATGTGGATAAGGTTGAAGACGTGCGCAGGGAGGTTTTGATCCTAAGCCAATCAAATGATATAAGCGTGGATTGAGATTCTGGAACAATTTCGGTAACAGACAATAGAATATGGTCGCATATGATATGGTTTCTTATATTTTGAAGAATAATGGCTTATCGTATTGTATGTAAACTGTTTTATCGATTAATTAAAGCTTGAAATCAGAAAAGAATTCAGACCCCAAAAAGTACACACACACATTTACATGCATACATCCATATATATATATATATATATATATATATATATATATATATATATATTATATTATTATTTAATTAGTGTATCTTTAAAGGTTCCGGATTTCTTTGCTTTTCATCAGTTAAATTTATATGGAGAGGCGTGTGAATATGCCATGATAAGTTTCGCATTATATATATATATATATATATATATATATATATATATATATATATATATATATATATTCGCATATTTTACATATATATATATATATATATATATATATATATAAATATTCGCTCTGGTTTTACATTGAGCTCTGTGGTTTACATCCTCCTAGGGATAATCCCTACGTCACAGACACACACACACACACACACACACACACACGCACACACACACACACACACATATATATATATATATATATATATATATATATATATAGCGGCCTGACGATTGCGTGTAGCATGAAACAGCCTGACACCTCTGAGTGTTGAATTTAACATTCACTCATATATATATATATATATATATATATATACACACATATATATATATACAAACGTATATATATGTACACACATACACACACACACACACACACACATATATATATATATATAAAGAATTTTTCTAAATTTATCATCTCATTTATGAAGATCTTTCCTCATAACAACAATAAAAAAATCTGGTATTTGATGAAATGGGTAATGTTTGAGAAAAAATGTTCCAACTGAGATTGACATAGGAAGATAGAGAGAAATGGCTTCCATAGAATCTATATTAGAATTTAATGTACCCCCTCGGGTTAAAGAAAACAATGAAAATTTCGATGTTTCTATGGGAGCATATGATTCAGTTAAAATATTATTATATATACATTTTAGGCATTTTAAATAGTTTCTTGGACACCAAAAATGTAGGCCTGTACAGAGATGATAGACATATTGTTATACCTCATAGCAATGTTCCACTAACCTCTAAGATACAGAAACAATCATTAAGGCCTTCCAATTTCTGGGATTTAAAATTGACATATCATCCAACTTAAAAATCTTTAATTTCCTGGATGTTAGATTTAATCTCTACAATATCACCCTCAAAGAGTTCCAAAAAGAAAACCAAACCTCTCTATATATAAACATCAACTCGAACCACCCCAAAACAGTTATAAAGCAAATTGCCAACACAGTCAACGCCAGAATAAACAAACTGTCTTCTAGCTGCAAAATATTTAATGAAAACAAATTTAGATATAATCAAGCCTTCATAAAAATTAAATCCCAGCAGTCATTAAAGTACCTAAAAACACCGACTGACAATACATCCTATAAATCCAAAAATAGAAAAAGGAACGTTATTCTTCACATTCTCCAACATTAATATAGTAAAGTTATTTCTTAAATTTACTTAATAAACATTTCAGTAAATACAATACCCTGAAAAGTTTTTTTAATAAAATTAACTTGAAAATTATTTACTCATGTGTGAACAATGTAGAGAAAGTTATAAATTCCCACAATAACAATATTCTTAGAGAATTTTATTACAAAATAATACTACTACCTGTAATTGCAGGAAAAAAACCAGAATGCCCAGTGGGAGGATTATGTATAACAGAAAATGTGGTGTATGAATCCACCATCTTCACCAAAGAAAATACGAAAGAGAAGATTGGGTATATTGGAATGTCTGCTGTGAACTGGAAGTAGCGCCTTTATAACCATCGCAGTTCCTTCAGTAATGAATCATTTAACACCAACCAACGTTGTCTAAATACTGTTGGGATCTTGTGAAAAAAGCTTCATCACACAGTTGAAATGGAGAATTATCTTAAGGACTCGAACTCCTAGAAAATATAGAGACAGATGTGAAATCTGGGTTAAGGAGAAAATCTTAATAATCAAACATAACAGACCTGAGGAATTACTATATCCCTGCAATGAAATTATGTTCAAATGTAGACACAGACATCGACTCAAAACAACAAAGTACATCTAATATTTTGGAGGCCTGTCCATGGTCCATGTAAAGTCCGGAATTTTAAATTATCTAGACATGAAACAACACCTGGCATATATATACACATACATACATATATATATATATATATATATATATATATATATATATATATATATATATATGTATGTGTGTGTGTGTGTGTGTGTGTGTGTGTTTACGCGTGTGTATGCGTTTGAACATATATGTATCTACATGTGTTGATATACATATGTGTGCATGTGTGTATATATTTGCATATGTATGCATATATGCATATGTATGTATTTATGTGTGTAAATATATATATATATATATATATATATATATATATATATATATATACGTATTTTTGTGTATATGTGTAAAGATGGATATGTGGTTATATGTAAATATATGCAGTCATATATATAGTTAAATGGGTTGTAACTGATCTGATATTACCGTTTCACCATTGTTAATCTACCGTTATTCCTCCCATTATTATTATTATTATTATTATTATTCCTCTAATTGGCAGTTTTATTATTATTATTACGATTATTATTATTATTATTATTATTATTATTATTATTATTAATATTATTATTATGTTTAAATTTTGCTTTATTTCGATATCTTTTTCGATATTATATTGTTTCGAGAATATTTGAATTTTTTGTATTTTTTTTTAATTTTAAATTATGAATTTAAAATTTAAAATAAAAATTTAAAATTTAAAATATTAGATTTTAAAAATCATTTTTCTTTTTACTTTCACCTATTAGTTATTAATAATATTAATGCTTTTTTTCTTTTCTTTTCTATTCATATTATTTTTTCTTTTTCTATTATTTCATTTGTTGGTATTCTTTAAATTTATTTCTAGCGTTAACTGTAAATTATATTAATTTGTTTTGTTTTTAATTAACTACAATATGCCTATATATGTTAATTGATTCTTCCTTTTCTACATTCTCCACTTTTTCCTCCCACCCCTGCTTCCCCATTTGCTTTCTTATATCTTGTCTTTTTTTCTCTTTGTCTCTTTTCCTGTGAGATGATTTATTAACTAGGACAATGCCTGGTCCTTAGACACTTCGCTTACACTTAATTATCTTACTAAAAGTAGATTTAAATTATTCCTATCTCGCTCATAATTCTCTAATTTCGACCATATCTGTCGTCTTCCTTCTCCCCTTATAACAACGTAAAAATACTCCTTACAAGCTTGTATAAAAATAATATGTAAATTGTAAACCATTTTTTATGCTTGAAAATGTGATCTGAGGAAACAGGAAAATCTTACTTTCCTGGGAAAATAAAATATAATCAATCGACCCTTAATGTATTGTTGTTTTCAGTTTAAATTAAATTAATATTCCCTCTGGTTTTACACTGGGCTCTCTGGTGTACATCCTCCTTGGGATCATCCATGCGTACATATATATATATATATATATATATATATATATATATAGAGAGAGAGAGAGAGAGAGAGAGAGAGAAAAGAGAGAGGCCTAATGATTGCGTTTAGCATGAAACAGCCTGTCTCCTCTGAGTACTGACTTTAACGTTCACTCATATATATATATATATATATATATATATAAATGAATTATTCACACAAAACTAATGCAAAGGTTAATGATTTAAATGGCGAGACATCCATCATCGCAAACAATTCAAATAGTACACAAAAACCTCCAGATCCGTTATGAATGAATTGATCCTTGTTTATATAAACGGATCTGGAGGTTTTTGTGTACTATTTGAATTGTTTGCGATGATGGATGTCTCGCCATTTAAATCATTAACCTTTGCATTAGTTTTGTGTGAATAATTCATGTATTTGTAAATTGATTGCACGTTTATTGTAATATATATATTGTTGAAGCTTAAATAAGCATGGAATAATACAACACAAAATGTACGTTAACAAAATGTATTGAAACAAAGAATAGGTACACAATATTTACAGTTAGTTTGGTATATTCTTGGGAAGACTGTTCCTGCATAATGGGTTGACTAAATCGCAGTCGGGCAGAGTCTCTGGATTCAATTTCTTAATCTCTACTATCTTCCCCGTCTTCCGGTACCAACCCATATTTATATGGTCGGTAGTCCGCTTATGTAAATTAGGTGTATCATACACAACATATATATATATATATATATATATATATATATATATATATATATACATACATATATATTCTATTTTAAAGATACAGGATTTATATTTAAAAGAAATGGTGGTGGTTAATGATTTTCTTATATATTTAAAAACGATAGATAGATAGATAAAGAGAGAGAGAGAGAGAGAGAGACAGACAGACAGACAGACTAAAAGGAATATAACGGCCGTATGATGAACAGTTTAAGGAATGATTTTAAGAAGTAGTATTATGCTTGTTGTGGCTTTGCTCACATTCATTGACTTAAAGATTGGTTCACGATACTGTCTTCAATTCTGTAGGCCTTAGCAGTAAAATCACGAAGTCTATTAAACGGATATTTGCCTGAACACTTCCATACATGCAGTTGATATAAAACTTTTATTGCTTCTCTCATCTTGTTGACAATTGCACGACATATTGGTCGCTACTACTTCCATAAATGCCAAGAGGAAAATGACGGATTAAATATTATTATCATCATTCCATTCATTCATTCATTTATTATTATTATTATTATTATTATTTTCCTGGAGCCAATAAAAGATTATATTTTCCTCAAAATAGCTTCGATTCTTTCGAGTGATTGTAATAAGCAGCACTTGCGTTTAAACTTTTCGTAGAGAACAAGAAGCCAGGTTCGAGCAAGTAATAAGACCGCTCTCTCACATTAGAAGGGAAATTGCGCCTCGTTTTGATTTATCATTTAAGTGATCTATTGACAGGAAAATAGCTGTTGATATCAAACATACTGTGGCCTGAGAAACACACTTTCAATTGTAAAAATAAAATGAGACAACCTACAAATGTTAGTGCCGATACACGTACATACCCTCTTGGTTAATTATTCGCACTTGTCTGTGTGGTTAGAGCGCTAGCCTTCAAAACTTAATACCCAATTTCGAATCTCACAATGGCTGATTTGTGAAAGAGGTGATCTTGATAATATCGTCATGTCCAGAAAGATAGTTTTCAAATTGTTAACAAAAACAGTTTAAAATGATTGTGAAAATATCCATCGATTCTTATTCTATCAGTCCTAGTAGATACGTTAGAAAGGTTAATTTAGTGTGGAAAACAGAATCGGATCTGAAGAAATTTTTAGAACGTTATCAAAATGTTTGGATACAAACGTCAAATATTACCTTAAAATATTTTGACACATAAAACCATATCAGATTCGAAAGATTACAACAAGAGAATTCTTCCTTTCTATTCAGGACGTAGGCGGTCATGGCTCTCCCCACTCTATTCATTGCAGCTCTCAAGAATTTCCTTCACACTGACACCTAATCCAAACCACGTTTTGTCATCCACCTACTTAAGGCGTCCAGTTTATGCCATGCGTTGTTTTCTCTTCTCTCTCTTTCCTTCATTTCGACCCGTGAGTATCAAATTCTCCAGGGCCTCCTTTCTCATTACGGGTACGAGGAACATCAGCCGACCTTTGTTGATGTTAATTATAAGCCTCCCCCTTGTTTGTATCCTTCCCAAGATCTCCGTTGTGGCATTTACCGTCCTTTGACAGAGCGCTTCCCAGATATTTAAACTTCAGAGTCTGCTTGATTCTAGTCTGCAAATCGCAATTTGGGGTTGTCCTTTTACTGATGACTATACATTGTTATATATATATATATATATATATATATATATATATATATATATATATATATATATATTGTGTGTGTATTTAGGTAGCATTTTTTATTAACTACATTACAATAAATTAAATAATAAATTAAAGATGTTTTCTAAAACAAAAATTACTATCTTTGTTATATAATTTATTATTTAATTTATTGTAATGTACTTGTAATCTCTGATGATGGCTTATGTTAGCCGAAACCTTAGACAGGATTAACAATAAAAACATCGATCAGCATGGTGATTTTCTTTCCTGTTTCAGTGATAATGCTAAAAAGCTTATTCGACAATATGAAAGGAATTTACTTAAAATACATAGACAAAACTTGCCTATATTATTTAATGAACATGCATTAATATATATATATATATATATATATATATATATATATATATATGACCTCTGTGCATTAGTATATTCTTTCATTTGTTACAGTTTATCAAACAGTTGTCATTTATTTAAATCCAGGTAATATTATTAGAATGAAAGAATTTCATTTTAGAGATAATAATGATTGACTTATACACGATATACCACGATATACTAAATTAAACCGTAGTCTGCGAAGATAAGATGTGGATTCATAAATTTAACAAGTTTATTAGCGCGTGAGTGAATATAAAAAAATACCGTTCTCCAATTTCTAACTCCGTGTCGTTAATTACATTAGCTGCACATTCAAGTTAGCAGCACCTGGTATGTTGAAGCGGTCACCCATTTAGGTACTGAACAAGATCGTCGTTGCTTAATTTCGGTGATTAAACGGGAACGAGTGTCTCAACATAATATGGCCGTAAGATGTTGCCTCTGTGGACTCTTGAAGAACGGCTGCTTATCAACGCTGTAATTCTGAAGATTGTTTGGGAAAACTGCTGAAGTGGAACAGACAAACCAGTCATTGATTGACAGAAAGCTGACGTATTTGTTTCATTTATTTGTCACCAAGCCCAATCAAATTATATTAGTGATAACAATTCCATCTGGCAAGTAATAGCTTTTTCGTTAAAACCTAATTAAAAGAAAAATGAAATTGAACATTTAGTTCTATTCTCCGTTTTTCATGTTATATCCTGATCTTCAGTACAAAAGAAGAAATAATCTTGTAGGTACTTTGTAATAAATGTGGGAATTATGCGCCTGTCATTCAAAGGATTGACTCACTCTGAGCATCTATTTTTATATATACAGGCTGCGATGGAGAAAGTGTCGTCTAAATGACGCAAACATGAAAATAACACTGATATCTCATTTTACAGATATATTTACCAAAATAACTCAAAAATATTTCAAAGTAAAAAAAGAGTAATTTTATTCAATAAAATCGCCAATGGTTTCAATCGCAGCTTCCAGACAACGTCGCAAACTCCTGCAAATCTTCTGAACGGTCTCCTTGTTTAACTTAGTGAATGCTACCATAATCGTTGACTTCAGTTCATTTTTGGTGTTACAAGGATTTTTATTTGTCTCTCGCTCAACTGTGCCCTAAATATAATAATAAAGTGGCTCGCTGCCTGGGGAGTTAGGTGGACAGATGTAAGGGGTGATGTGATCGCAGAAATTGTCTGACAGCCATGACTCGTTTCCCCTGCTTGTGTGGCATGATGAAATGTCCAGTCGCCAAGCATAGGGTCTTCCAGCAAGCACCCTTTTAACCCAATGTACGATTACCTCCTCAGGGCACTTGATGTATTCTTCCCTGTTGAGTCTGACGCCCTCACCAACAAAATTTATTATCGGAAAGAGATTTTTACCGTGTTTTGTGATCACCATTAGACTCATGGAACACTTTCTGGATTTTTTGTACTGTCCTCAGAGTGACACCCACTCTGATACGTTCATATTGGAGATTTTGGCGCGAATGTCAAACAGTACAGCATACGCTTTCCAAATTACTGGCAGAGTGAATTGCTTTATGGTGCACTTTTTCTTACAGTCAGCATACTGTGGAGTTGACAAAATCAAATAGAAGCAACGCGCATGCGCGAAATTAAAAATAAGATGGCGACAATTTACTCATCGCATCCTGTATGTGTCGAGGAAAGGGAAAACAAGACATGTCTATAAAGCGATTCCCTGTTCTCTGTTCCATTTGCCGAAAAAGAAAATCAGAATCCAGCTGTTGTCGACGTTAGTTGGCCTAAAATGATTTGTCAAATTTTACGCTTCCCGACTACACTCGACCAATCACAACCTTTTTTTACTCTAATAAAAGAACTCTATATAAGAGATCAGGCAGTTTGTCTAGGTGAAGACAGGTAGTCGTGTGTTGCGGATTAAAAAAGAAAGAAAGAAAAAAACAACATAAAAAACCAATACAACACATGTCTCATTCAGTTATTTTCTGACATTAGACTTCTTCATGTGTCTTGACTCCTCAGGACGTAGGCAACCATGGCTCTCCACAATCTTTTTTTTCTTTTTCTTTTTAGCTCTTAATAAATTTTGTCTTCTGCTCATTTCTCAATGACCCTGTTCCGCCATCCATTTCCTCAAGCTCATTAAGTATATGCGTTGTTTTTCTCTGCATCTCGTGCCTTCATTCTGTCCTGTGAGTATCAGATTTTCCAAGCCCTCATTCCTCATGACGTATCCTGATATTAAGCATAAATTTCCGTTTTCTATTTTCCTAGAATTTCGCTGTTGCTCAAATATTCAGTCCATGATTTTCTCAACTTTCGTTAGAACCACATTTCTTTTGCTTCCAGTCTCTTCTTTACCTTCGAGTAAATTGTCTAGCATTCACTGCTGTATAAGAGGGCGTGTATCACATTATCGTTATGTACGCTTTTCATTGTTTCTTACGAAGTTTTCTTGTTTCTTAGTTGTCATCTTTCGGAATGCATCTGTATGTATCCGATTTCATCTTCAAATTACAGCGTTGCATGTTCCGCCAGATATGTTAACTGATGTGCTTCGTTGATTTTGGCACCTCCGATTTGTAACTTGTATTTTGGGTTCGTTTTTTGCAAATAACCATGCAATCCGTCTTCTTGCCGTTTATGTTTATCCCTTTCTTCTCGCTCTCCTCTACATTCTGTAGGAGCGGGACACGGAGACGTGCTTGGCTAGCTAGAGGTTTTTAGTCCAAGCCCACACGTGGGTGGCGGGTTCATGATGGTCGTGTCCCTCGTGACTTGCGTCGTCTTCGCTGAGCTGGTCACGTGTACAGAATGCGTCCCACTCGACTCCCACGTATCATCCTGTTTGAAAAACTCATCAGAATCACGAGGCTACACGGAGGCCTAAAACTACACTAGAATGTTCAGTTGGAAACATCCCTTAAACAGGCCGGCGTCGACCCTAAAACATAGGAAACCTTTGCTGCAAATCAGCCTTCATGTCATAGGACTAGCAAAGCGGAGGGTGCAAGACTTTCGAGTCCAACTGAGGCAACAGAAATATGGTTCTACAGAAGGATACTGAGAATACTGGCCATCTGACGTGGAAATTTGAGGGAATATAGAAACGAAGCTGACATTTATACTTAGAATCAGAAAGAAACTATTTAATGAACGTTCTAGGGTACGTACGATGGCTTGGAGAGTTTGACAATTTGAAGGCAACAAAGACAGAGGAAAGCTGTCGATATTTTGCCTAATAAGCATGTGCATATGG